GATACTACAGGTACTACCACTGCAAAATCGGGCTTCCCATATCTGTCACCTCTCGGTATTCTTCACTACACTGACTTCACTACAGCAGCCCACACTCTTTTCTTCATGTTTCTAACAGTCCTGACTACAGATACTACAGGTACTACCACTACAAAATCGGGCTTCCCATATCTGTCACCTCTCGTAGTATTCTTCACTACACTGACTACACTGACTTCACTACAGCAGCCCAAAGTCTTTTCTTCACCATCCTGACTACAGATACTACAGGTACTACCACTACAAAATCGGGCTTCCTATTTGTCACCTCTCGGTATTCTTCACTACACTGACTACAGTGACTTCACTACAGCAGCCCAAAGTCTTTTCTTCATACTTCTAACAGTCCTGACTACAGATACTACAGGTACTACCACTACTAAAATCGGGCTTCCCATTTCTCGTCACCTCTCGGTATTCTTCAACTACACTGACTACAGTGACTTCACTACAGCAGCCCAAACTCTTTTCTTCATGTTTCTAACAGTCCTGACTACACGTACAGATACTACAGATACTACCACAACAAAATCGGGCTTCCCATATCTGTCACCTCTCGGTATTCTTCACTACACTGACTACACTGACTTCACTACAGCAGCCCATCTTCATCATATCCTGACTACAGATACTACAGGTACTACCACTACAAAATCGGGCTTCCCATATCTGTCACCTCTCGGTATTCTTCACTACACTGACTACACTGACTTCACTACAGCAGCCCAAACTCTTTTCTTCATTATCCTGACTACAGATACTACAGGTACTACCACTACAAAATCGGGCTTCCTATTTGTCACCTCTCGGTATTCTTCACTACACTGACTACAGTGACTTAACTTCAGCAGCCCAAAGTCTTTTCTTCATTATCCTGACTACAGATACTACAGGTACTACCACTACAAAATCGGGCTTCCCATTTGTCACCTCTCGGTATCCTTCACTACACTGACTACAGTGACTTCACTGCAGCAGCCCAAACTCTTTTCTTCATGCTTCTAACAGTCCTGACTACAGATACTACAGGTACTACCACTACAAAATCGGGCTTCCCATTTCTGTGACCTCTCGGTATTCTTCACTACACTGACTACCGTGACTTCACTACAGCAGCCCAAACTCTTTTCTTCGTGTCATTGTGAAGCATTCGTCGCTCGGTCGATAGGCCGTGCCTGTTCCGCAGAATCGTGATGCGTTGCCGGCCATGATGCGTCGAATGTCGTGCTACCGCATGCTCGGACGCCTTTTATCGGGATTTGTACACGCTGGCGCCGTGTACCGAAACAGTGTACCCGTGAGGTGCGTTTGCCGTCGATTTCGTGACAGCAGTCACGAATGCCTATCGAACTCCGGCGCAGCATCACTCGGTTTTCAAGTCTGGCGTGTCCCGCAAATTCGTGATGCGTTTGCCGGCGATTTTGTGACAGCAGTCACGAACGTCTATCGAAATCCGGCGCAGCATCACTAGGATTGCAAGTCTGGCGTGTCCCGCCAAATTCGTGATGCGTTGCCGGTCGTGATGCGTCGCACAGTGTCTGCCGCACGCTCGGACGCTGTCTAGTCGGGTTGTGTCAACGCTGGCGCCGTGTACCCAAGTGCATTCGCCGGCGGTTTCGTGATGGCTTACACAAACGCTACGCTCCGAAACTTTGGTTACGTGTCCTGGCGATTTCGTTATTTGGGTGACGGGTGTTCTTGTGATATTTCACATTCTATGCCACTGGTACGCACTGGGCGCACTGGTACGCAATGGGCGCACTGGTACGCACTCGTACGCACTGGGCGCACTGGGCGCACTGGTACGCACTGGGCGCAGTGCCGCCGGGCAGGCATGGCGAATACGATCGGGAAGTGGGCGCGAGGAACCCCGCTTGCCTGGATGCGCGCCGCGCTAAATTCGTGATGTCTTACATGGAACATGTGCCCTTAATTTGTCTTTAATTTCGCCGGCGTCGGCGGCAGAAGACTTTTAAAGACGACCAGAAACACGACTTATAAGTAGAAAACCATCTGTGAGGCCGTGTACTAGACTTAAAAGACTGACTGACAGGCTCATTTCCTCCACATAAGATGAGATAAGTCCAATACTTAAGTACTCGCATGATGAATGGCCACTTCCCTTTTTCTGGCTAATCATGACAGGAATAAAAGTAGAGTCTAGAGAGCCTAAAGAAAAATAACAGACCGCAGCACACATTCCTCCGTGAAGTAATTGTAGTGTTCAGCTCTAGTGTTTGGCTCTAGTGTTTGATACACGAAGAAACGGCGAACTGTACAATTACGAAATGCTACTTTTTGACAGAATATGTTGTCACTATAGATGACATACGGACGCAAGTATTACAGTCACAAATATCGAACATACGGAGCTACATGCAAATAGATGATTTTGACATCTATCTACCACCCCAATTCTCCTCTTAAGGCCAACTGTATAGCTCGAGCACGGTCCTAGCAACCCTATCGATATTTCATCTTAACAGTTTATGTTTTCTATTTTACCTATTGCTTTCTTGCCCATCTACCAATTAAGCACAAAACTTGATGGTCATCTGACCTGTGTGACTTATAAACCTGTTAGCTCCCAGAAGTCACGACCTTTTCAGAGCTGACGGAAGATGGCTCGTCAACTTTGAAAGCTTCTCTACAAGCTAAACTTTAAGTCGTAACAGTATGGTCCTTTATTGTTAAATTTTAAAAATGGATTCTTATCATTCCTTTATACAGGATTCGTCTGTACGATCCAAAACTTTGTCTTGACCGGGTTAGAGTGAAATTTAGACGTAGGTATAACAATACTTTTATCAAAACTATCACAACGTCCGACACTCATATATGTATATCTTTAGGCTGGATAAACTAGGCATCCCTCCATCTCGACATCTCGAGTGATGTTGGTAGCACTCTGGTGTTAAGGCCATGGGCAGCGTCTTGTGTCACCTCTCAGTCAACAGCTCAGCTACCATCATGATAGCACCGCGTAGTACACCGTGTAGTGCACCGCGCAGGTCATTCTGTCAATGAATATTTGTTCTAGCTTGAGTCAAGAAGTTGTCGACAACAATGTCTACCTTCACCAAGTAGGTCACGTTTTCGGTACCGTTTGTCTGACCCGAGAAGCTCTTCTTATTTACTTAACTTTTACCAGAAAACAAGGCTCATGAGAGAGGGAGTATGAAACAAGAAAGGATGATTTGCTTCTGAAGAAGTGGAAAATCGTGTCCTCGCTGAGAAAGGTCAGAGTGGGGCACACGCGGGTGAAGCTCCGCGGACTGCGGTATTTGCCATGGAACAGGCGATAGAGTAACGCCAGACGCGAGGGGCTGAGGTGGCGAACAGGTCAGTCCCAACAAGAGTTCGTAATTGCGGTTTTGAACTCTGTCCAGACAGCCAGGGGAGCTCTAGGCAGCTCCAGCCCACCTGTGAAAGCAATAGTCCATTATTGGTCTTGTCTGGCTCTTACTAAGATACAGGATGGCAGAGGGAGTTCAATGCTTTCTGATTCAGTACAAATACTCGTAACTCATTAAATGTAGTTCTTTATGCTGAAGTTTCTTTTCCAAATGATGGTTGGCTGTTGGCTGTGTGTGACAGGGGTCTACGACTAAATATTGATCATCGATGAAGCCTTGCTCGGGAAATATATCCTCACTTAAGGGGGGGGGGGGATAAAGTGTCGCTAATGTAGTTTTTTTCTCCGAATGATAAGTCAGATCGAGGAGCCGGAGGAGCCGGTAGAGGTCTGTGCACACACGACCAACCAGCTGGCGGGAGTCCCAGCCAACTCTCCCCCATTGGGACTCAAACCGCCCGACCCTCCTCCCGGTGTGGCCGGCACGTTTTGGCGAGGTGCGAAATCTTTTCTAATGGTAGAACGGCTGAAGGTGTGTGACGGGTAACTCTTGAGAGTGGCGAGGCTGATGGCCGTGGCAGAACGCCTGGAGGAGAACACGTACGTCGACGCCGTGGACTGGCAGGGGTCCTTCTTCCGGCAGCCCAGCGCGATGAGCAGGCCTGTCTGGAAGTTGGAGGACATGAGGGTGTACAGGATGGGGTTGAGGGTGGAGTTCAGGTACACCATGATGCGCAGGAACACAAGCAAGTTCATGACCATGACCTCGTTCTGCTGCAGGGCCTCGTACTGCTCGGATGACAGGAACAGGAGCCACATCTGCACCACCTTGTGGGGAGTCGTGCAGACGAAGAACGTCACCACCACGGCAACCAGCATGTTGATGACCTGAGGTGAAGACCAGAAGTTTGTTTATTTATGCAATACTCAAATCGACATGCTGAACGCTTTTTATTGAGATCATGTGGGAGGGGCCAGGCAAAAGATAACAAGATACATGATTGAAGTCCTAATAAATCCATAAACAGACTCCTATATAGACTTTACAATATCCAGCGCCAATATCCATTGTTTAGAAATTTATAAAAATTCTAAAAACTAGAATGTTGATGACCTGTCGGCGGGAGCGCATCTGAGCCAGCTTGCGCACGTCGCGACCCTGCTCGGTGGAGGGGAGGTCGCACAGCCGCCGTCTGATGGCCGTGTACAGCCCAACCAGGAGAAGCAGGGGAACCACCAAGAACAGGACCGACCCCGCGGTGATGTACGTCATCCCCAGCGTCGTACCAATATCCGTCACGCAAGCCTCCACAACCACGGAGCTGTTCGTCTGGTTTGGTGACGTCTGGTTCGAGTATAGGTTTGTGAAGGCGATCATGGGAGACGACAGCACCAGGGAAAACGCCCAGATGCCGACGATGGAGCAGAAGATGCGGCGGCGGGTCAGGGTCCGTTTGGCGGTCAGCGGGTGGCAGATGGCGTAGTACCGCTCCACCCCGATGGCAGAAATGGTCAAGATGGACGCTTGGAAGACCAGGTGCTCGTTAAAAGACTGGATCAAGCCTGTATGTGCATAGAGGGAAAGTGTTGGTTACTACTTTGTGTTCTGCGTACACCTGGTCGATATCAGAAATGCTTTCAGTCGCGCGAATCAGTATGCTCATTTGATTTATTTCATTTTATTTACCCAGGGACAAAGGACTATAAAGGATTATGCAAATGAACTATAGTATAACAGAAAAACAAGATATAACCCAAAGGTGCAAAGTAACTTATAAGGGATGGTCGCCTGGCTTGGATCAAGCCTGTAGAGACACAGAGGGTAGGTGTCATTCACTTCTTTGTGAAAGTGAAAATTGTGAAAATGACTTGATGTAGTGAATCACAGCATGTCGGCTGATTTTTAGCCGCCCGAATCCGTGTGCTCAGGTATAACCTGCGCACAACAGATTATCTTATGCTAAAGAAATCATCTCATACTAAAGAAAAGACTTAAAGGACTTTTGACACATTACGTAAAGAGAAATGTGCTACTTCAGACTTTTTTCACCCTTCGATACGCGCTCCAGAAAAACAACTTTGCCGGGTCTTTTAACAATGCAGCAACGATTTTGTTAGAAGTCGCGACAAAGATGACGTGATTAACTATTCCTGCGATGTCAGGGCGTGATGTCAGGGCGTGATCCCTTTCAGTGCCGGAGTAAGCAAACTCAGATGTTGATGACCTGAGGTGAAGACCAGAAGTACTGTATGTTTGTTGGAACCATTGTCTCCTCAGTCTAAAGCGGAAACACTTGTGTTATCTGTGAGTTTCTGGACGGACTCTTTATAAGAGTAGTTTATGGCTGTCCCGGATTGTTGTCTCTCCACAGCTGTGTGTAGCGTCCAATGGCTAGTGGACACGGGATCGATAGGTCTAAGGTTCGATTCCTGGCTAGATGAATCGCTGGGAAAGGGATTCCTATACAGTGCCCTAGATACAGTAGATTAACAACTCACTTCACCTATTGCCTCAAAGGCACCTGTACCTAATTTACTTCATCACAGCCTTACATTGCATTCCTACGATTAGCTGAGGATAAACTTAACACCGTTATCACCCCCGGCAGTAAGGCTCAAGGAAAAATGGCCCTTTTTGTGCTTTTATCATGATCAAATGAACTCTCTTTAGAAAAAAATGCAACACGCAGAAAATCCTGATGCATAGGGCTGCCTTTCCTTCAGCCGAGCTGTCCAGACTGATAACGGTTTTAACTTTAAAAAGCTTACGCTTGGTCCATAGCCAAAGAATCTACACAACTTACAATCCGGATATTCCACAGGCCCAGACCACCACTGTAGCCTGGGTGAGTTTGTTGCCTCCGTGCACGGAGGTTTGTCGGGTTGTGGTCGCGGTTAACAGCGCGGTCACATTAGTCGTGGGTTATCATAAGAGTTTTTTTATTAACGTAAGATTTTGATGCCGAAGAATTTTCAGGCAGGTGACAGAACCAGCAGTCTTCAAGGATCCAAGACAGCCTTTTCCGTAACAAGATAGCTGAGTTTTGCAGAACACATTCACGACTATCCAATTAATACCCTCAATGTGTAGTCATATCACGGGCCCTAAGGGCGGGGCCATGTCCTGAAACTATGCCAGGGGCTGTACGACGGGGTTCATATCTCATATATCTTCATTGGTCATAAAGAAATCTTCCTTGTCAATGACATTTGTAAGATCTTCTACAACTATACATACAAGTAAACAGGTGGATGCTAATGAACTTACATACCGTCAACTCATGTTGAGTTAAATGCATCTTGTACATTGCTGGTTCTAAGATGCATACGTTCTTTGATGTTAGCGTGAGCTTGAAAGTTCATCCGTGCAGGTAGAAGTCATTTTAAAACAGGTTTGAACTGTTAAAATGGACTTTTCCAACTTTTCGAGTCTTCAACTCTTCAGTCGAAAAGTTGGACATTTTTGTGTTTCAGAATTCTTTGATGTATTTGCCATCTTGTACCCAGTACGGATTATCTCCTGTGATGTAATTGAATTTATTGCCCATATACTATCTTTCATGAGGCCTCACACCCCGGTGTCTTGCCCTCTCTCAGCAGTTCTGAACGCCTGAAAACATTTTTGGGCTGTTTCCAAGATGGAACGCAGCATGCGTGTACGTACATCCGGACTTTGCAGAAAAAAATCATCTGGCACTTTCCTACGGCACATTAGGTTTGGGAGTTGGTATAAGCTGATTTAATCCTACTACTGAAGTATCGGCAACTTGCCAAGGGGCCTGCGGTGTCAGGGTGTCATTTGACTTAGAGTAAGAACCTCACATCATTATCAGCTGCACTTCTTTTGCCTACGAGTCAGGAAATTTACATTCTTAAAGAAAACGTGACACCTTCAATAAGTAATCTGTAAAGAATCAAGGGTCTCATCATCATGAAGATGCCAATAGTCAGCTGCTTGTTTCACATAAGCGGTGAACCACCTTTAGACGTAACGCACTAGTTTTGTGTAGAGGTCTAAGCTGAATAAGACTGGACTGTGAGGTTTGAACCACTCACACTGGAAGGCTCTCACTCTTTTCGATAAATGTGGTGGTATCTTTAACGTGCTCGAGACGTGGCTCTTCTCAAACGTGGGACCCTCAGCTTGACGTTCCATTTGCGAGGACGTCCCTACCCGAAGCTAGGCACTGACTTTCACCTGGGATAAGTCAGGAAAGTGTTTCGAAAGAGCACAACACGGGTCTGCTAAACAACAAGACCACCATGCTACCTCTGTCAGTCAAGGAATGAGCAATCAATATGAGATAAACCAAACTCATTCTTATCTTGGAAGTTCATCTGTGTTGGTAGAAGTCATTATGAAGCAAGTTTGAATTGTAATTTCCAACAGAAGAAATTGGATTTACCAAAACTATACAACTCAGGGAATGAGCAATGTGCCGCTTCTGGGACGTCACGTTATGCACACGTGTTGGAAATTATAGTTCAAAGTTGTTTCACAAACTCATTCTTACCAAATGTACTAGATCCCTGTGTATGACATTTTGATATCCTCTACACCCACCACCGAGTTTTTTCCGCTAACATATGAGCCTACTTCATATCACCGTGACCTGAGGCGGTCGTGAACTTGTAACAGGCAGCAATTTGCACCGCGAGATTGCCTTAAGACCTATGGATGATTTTTGCCACATCTGGTTCATCGTAAATGTCTCGATGACTTTAGTCAATGACGTACTGAGGTCTAATGTGCCTGGCCTTCCGCTATTACTGTATTGGGACTGGGATCTTTGGGGTGTTTTTTTACTTTTATGTTTACGCTGACATTGGTTGATCACTAATGTGACGAGAATGATGTGAATGGTGGCTACAAATCAGTGGACCAACAGAACAGCCCGTGTCTATGCTCGGATAAAATCCTATCAACGCACACCCACAAAAGTCAACGAGATTAATGACCTCTTCCACAAGTCCAACAAGATAGGGGTGTTTTCTGAAATATTACATGACCAATAAAACTGCTACGGTGTAAAAAAAAAAGCAACGCACATCACATGCCAAGCCACATACCAGTGCAGCGATGGGATCGTGAGTTACAGCTGCGAACGCACGGACACAACTGATTACAACTCCGTCGGAGGTTACTGACTTCCTTCACGGAGTACCTAATTGGACTCACCGGAATTTTGTATATAACTATGAAACTTTATAACTCAAACCTCTATATAAGTCAACTAAGAACAGTTTCACCTTGCTTCCTAAGCTCAGCGATGGTTATTTTTTACACTAAGTGATGACATTAAGGCAAAGGTCTTTCCGGGTTGCTCACGTACATTTACATGAATATATGTATTTCATTGGCTCTGAATGGATATCTGGTACTCCCAACCCTTTGATATTTATGTGTGATGCATTAGGCGTGGGGTCTGTGATGTTTCCGAAGCTATTATTACGTGGGTAGTACGTGGGTTATTGCATGGGCAGTACGGCTATTACAGATCGATTAGACAGTGACATGATTACTCACTATGTCACACTCAGGACCTTTACTCCGAGTACTCCCGAACCACGACCACACAAGGTCTGGAGAAAGTCGGGTCGGCTGTGTGTGACAGGGGCTTTACCTGAATATACAGATTTCAGACCTCTGTGAAGTACTTCGAGTTTTGTGATTCTATTGGCACCACCAAAGAGAAACCTTGCCGGCTGAGAACTTGTTTTGATCCTCGGTAAATGCGTGACTATGTGTGACAGGGACTTAACCTAAAATTGGAGGACAATAGTAATGAACGTAGACTTACACATGAAACGGCCGAGCAGCCAGGGTTCCGGGATCCACGTCTCCAGCAGCGCCACAGGCATGGTCACCAGCAGGAGCAGCAGGTCCGCGATGCTCAGGTTCACCAGGAAGAAGTTCGTCGGCGTCCTCATGTCCACGTTCTTCCACACCACCATGCCCACCAGCATGTTTCCCGACACCCCCACCACGAAGATGACGCAGTACACCACGGTGACCACCCAGAGCGAGATGGACGGGAGGTCGGGCTCACCCATCGCCGTCATCACGGAGGACGTGGTCGCCTTGGCAACGGAGAATGAACACCTTGGTACCGGCCAAGCTGAGAAGATGAAGTACTATCTTTTATTCACAGGCATCTCACAATTTCTGGACCAATTTTAGTTATCAAAACCTTCAAGTAATAAAAACAACATTTGAAGACTACTGGGTCGTTATCTGAAGTCGTGATCACTCTGGTCGATGAGGTTGAACCTCCTGGTATCGTTGAGAAAATGTAGTATTACCTTTTATTCCCAGGCGTCTGACGATTGCTGGACTAATTTTCGTTATCAAAACGTTCTCTTCTAGCCAAGTAATAAAACAACATTTGACGATTACTGGGTAGTTATCGATCTGACCGCTGAGGCCGAACTTCCTGGTATCGTGCAGAATATGGAGTATCATCTATATTCTATTATCTTCTATTCACGGCTGGAATAAGCTTCTGGAATAAGCTAGTCACTACTAGGAAAGTCACACAAGATGCTGCACACGGTCATCGCACCAGACCGTCATGAATAGATGCCGACTACAAGACATACAATATTTAAGCACAGCTTAATACATGTGCAAATGTTTACCAGAGAAAAGAAAATGAACCTTGAATGCATACGTTAAAGTGTGATATAGAAAATAGCAACAACATTGTATGATAGTGCAAAGTTTCAAGAGCGACAACTGTGAAAAAATGGAACACACTTCCAAGTACGTCATGCGCAAGGAGCTTGCCGGGTACTGACGTAAATATCCACCTCTTACCATGCCGTGTATGCGTAAGCTGCAAAGTCAATTACAGATTTGGCATATAGTTTATCGAACGGCTTAACCTCAACTGTTCAGAAGACCTTTCTTCGGTAGTTCTTGAAAGAGGTTGACGTGATGTGGTTCAGTAATTAGACCAAAGTCCGAAATAGGAATTTCTTTAAATTTCTTTTCACCGCCCTTCAGTAAAATGCGATTTCACAAAGCTGAAGTATTACAAATGTGCAGTATATTAGCTTGTTTCTTACATAACTTCGTCATATCTTGTCATAATTACCTCCATGAAATGTGTCATGGAGGTTATATTTTCAGTTGCGTTTATCTGTCCGTCTGTCCGTCCGTCTGTTGGTCAACAAGATAACTCAAGAACGCCTGGATGGATTGGTTTCATACTTGGTGTGTTGGTAGGGTGTGACGAAAACTGGAAATGATTAGATTTTGGTCCCCCTAGTGGCTTCCCTTGGTACTGCAGCGCAACTTCCGGTTTTGATATCTCGCGATCTGGACATGCTAGGGTCATGAAATTTTGATGGAAGGTAGCTCTCGTGCTTGGGAAGAAGTCATATGAGTTTGGGCTCCCTAGCGGCTTGTTCTGGAACTGCAGGGCACTTTCTGGCGAAATGTTTAAAAGCCAATAAGTCCAGACAGGAACAACATATTTTCATTATTTTTGGTGTGTAG